ACACACACACACACACACACACACACACACACACACACACACTCTCTCTCTCTCTCTCTCTCTCTTCTGACTTGTTTTTCTGTGCTGGCACAAACGCCAATCAAACCACCCACCCAGACACATGCACACACGCTAGCACGAATTCATCCACGTTCGCACTCACACACGCGCGCCCACTCACACACACACACACACACACACACTCACACACACACACACATATACACACACACACACACATACACACAGCTGTGTGCCAGTAATTCAACCCGTCAAGTACACAATGTGTCTGTATACATGTTGATCCAAGTGTCCCATTTCTTCTGAAACCTTCACATGGGTAAATGATACAATATACTCGTGTCTATGACATTTTTCATGGCCAATGAGCGCCACTGGCAGGTCGTTTTTGTTTTAACTTCACATTTGTCTGGCTGGCTGTCAGTCTGTCTGTCTGCCTTACCTTTTTCTAACTCTAAATGGACGTTATCATGGATAAATGATAAATAACTGTTAGTTTGCGAATGCGCTTCTTTTTAACATTTAACACCCAAACAAACTTCTCTGTACTCAAATGCAAACGAAATGAACGTTATCGTGTCTATGTTATCATTCTCAGTACAAAATGTACTTCATAGATGATTTTGGGGCATTGCTGGTAGATCATTCTCCTTTTCTTTCCCTTTGTTGTTTCTGAGTGCCCTACTTTTACCCTACCATAAAAAGACAGTTACTTTGTCGATGCGCTTCATTTTACTTACCCAATCAAACACACTTTTTCGTACTAAATGTACATTAACGTGTCGATGTGCTTCCTCTCGGTATTCAGACTCAGTTTGGACGTTATCGAGCTAATGTCCTTCTCTTTAAACGTACATTATTGTGTCGATGTCCATCTCTTTACTCAAACTAAATGCACATTATAGTATCGACGTGATTCTATGTGCTCGTGGGTTGTTGGAGGGCGCCCTCTGTTGTTTCTGTCGGACTGTCCATTTACCCTTGCACGTGATGACTGGTATTGTGCTGAGATGCTTCTTTTCCTGAAACAATCGAACACACTTCTTTTTCATTGCACTCAACCCCTTACATAATTAAACAAATTTTACGATCTAATGTAATGTTGATGTGCCTCCTATTTTTACTCACAAACTCAAATGGACGTTGTCGTGTCGGTGTTCTGATCTGTACTCAAACTCAAACTATAAGAACGTTATCGTGTATTGTTACGCAAAGTAGATGTTCGTTATCGTATCGATGTGTTTTTGTACTGACTCAAACTAAATGAAAGTTATCGTCGTGTCGATGTTAGTTCTATACTCAAACTGTACTAATTAAACGTACGTTGTCGTATCGTTGCGCCCCGTCTCTCTTCTCAAACTCAAACTAAATTAACTTTATCGCATCGACGTGTTTTCTGTACCTTAGACGAAATGTACTTCATCTGTACCCTGTACTCACACTGACTCAAACTAAATGAACTCTATCGCATCGACGTGCTTTCTGTACCTTAAACTAAATGTACTTCATCTGTACACTGTACTCACGCTGACCTGTCGTGACCTTTCACCTCCTCAGTCTGGACGGAGACAATGTGCGTACCGGCCTGAACAAGAACCTGAGTTTCTCTCCCGAGGACAGAGAGGAGAACATCCGACGTATTGCTGAGGTCTCCAAGCTCTTCGCTGACGGTGGCATCGTCTGTATCACTTCCTTCATCAGCCCCTACAAAAACGTGAGTTGACTTGCTTTGTAGTTTGTTTGTTTGTTAGTTTCTTTGTTTGTTTGTTTAGGTATCTTGTGATGTTGTTTTGGTTTCTTTTAAGGGGTGGTTGGTTTTTAGATTTGAACAATTGTATTTTTTTTTCTTTCTTCTTTGGTTGATGGTTGGAGGTTGTTTGTATGGTTGTTGTTTTGGGTTGTAGTTTTTAAAACTATTTTTAAAACAAACGTTCGTTCTTTTCTTTTTTTGTGGGTGATGGGCTGAGGGTCTCTGTTTTAAATTTTTAAAATCTATTTTGGTTATATGTTTGGGGTTTGTTTTTTCCTTTATTGGTGGGATAGAAGAGAGTTGTGGGGGTATGGTTTGTGTACACCTACAGTCAACCAGTCAGATATTAACTTTCTGTACTTATTGTTTGTCCACTTGTTAACTTTATTGTGATGAATAAAGTTGAGCTTGGCTTATATGTTATGCTGTTTCTCTTTGTCCTTCAGGATCGTACCAAGGCTCGTGAGTTGCACGAAAAGACTGGCCTCAAGTTCTTTGAGTGCTACGTGAACACGCCCATCGAAATCTGTGAGCAGAGGGATGTGAAGGGTCTCTACAAGAAGGCCAGGGCTGGCATCATCAAAGGTAAGTTCTAAGTGGAACAAATTGTGATAGTGCCAATCAAAATTGGACATTAGTCGGAAATTTCACAAGTTGAGTTAATACTTACTTACTTTTTACAATTTTTATTGAATACTGAGTAAATATTATTGTTAAAAGCCACCACCTCTACCTTTAAGTTTAAGTAAAAAAGGAAGTCAGATAGACAATATTTGACAAAAAATATGGCAACTCAGACTCAAGTTCCATAGCGGAGTCTTAATTCAGAGTTTCATAACCTACGTTGCCAGGATTCACTGGTGTGGACTCCGCCTATGAAGCACCCGATGCGCCAGACGCCAACCTGAAGGCCGGCCAGATCTCAGTGGACGAATGTGTTCAGGAAATTGTCTCCCTTCTGGCTGAAAATGTGAGTTGCTTTTACGTCTCTTCTGCTTGTTCTCCATAACTACTTATTATACGTGGGTCGTTGGCGGGTGCTCTGGTGTGGTTTGCTTCTTCTTTCCTATCGAACATCTATCGTCCTTATCTCCCCTTTTTTTATTTTATGTTTGTTACTTTCTTGTAACATCTCTAATCTTCTGGCGCTCATATGACCTTACGCAGTTTCGGGCGCCGTAAAACCTCTACTAAAACTAAAACTCATTATACGTTTCTGTGATGAAAATGTTTACTCATTCATGTTTTGTGGAGTTGAATGACCATGTGGGTGGTTAGTGGGCACCACTGATAGCTCATACCTCTTTTCTTTCTTTATGTTGTTTTTGTCTATCTGTCCCTCCAATTATGCGTAGCACAAATAGTATTATTATGAGGATGTGCTTCTCTTTACTCTATCTTAAAGTTGAAAGTGTGGGTGGTTGGAGGACGCAACTGGTGGTAGGTCTTACTTCTTTTCTTTGCCCCTCTGTTCTTGCTATCTGTCTTGCTCTTTCCTTTCACTAAATGACAATCATCGTGTCAATGTGCTTCTCTGTACTCGAACGAAAAAAAAATTGAATGACTGTGTTACCAGGTTGTGTTATTTTTTCTCATTTCCTCACAAAAGAAATAAAAATTGAACAACTCTGTTTCCGTTTTTTTTTCTTCCTTATTTTGTCTCAAATAGACAAACAAACAAAAATTGAACGAATTTGTTACTTTTTTCTTTATCCTTATGTTTCCATAGTGCTAAGTTGTTTGATCTTTTTTCCCTCCCCAGGAAATCGTTCCTCGTGCGGCCCTGCACCAGGTGCGAGATCTGTTTGTGCCCGAGAACAAACGTGAAGCTGCCCAGGCTGAGGCAGCGACACTGCCGGCTGTTGACATCACCAAGGTGAGACGAGGCAAAATGGTGGAGAGAAAGCAATATATGTACACTGTACAGAAAATCACGAAAAGATTGTGTAAAAAAAAAATCCTCAGGATAAGAAATTAAGTTTGTTAATTTTGGAGAATTGAGTTTGTAGAAGTTTATGGGGGCTTATTTATCTAGAAGTGATAAGCTGCTTGACGCACATTTCAAAATACTTGGTTTTATATCAAGTTTATTCGTGAGTGATTGTTGGGTAAATTTGGATTTTGTTTCTCACGTTTTAAACAAATGTGACCTTGGGGTAAGTGAGACACAGTCCCTTGAAAAAAGGGTTTAAAAGATTTGAAGGTCCTGTGAAGTTAACGATAATAGTAATAAAAATAATAATAATTGTCTCTATTTTTCCCACTTCCATAAAATACAGCTCCCTGCGCCTAACAATAAACTTCATCTTCACACAAAATACATGTGCATGAACGGGTAAGAGAATGTTTTCAAAGTCTGAGAGCTACTTCTGTAGTCTCAAACTCCAGAATTAAAAAAAACCAACTCTTTACAAAAATTTTACCATTGTATTTCTCCAGCTGGACTTGCAGTGGACGCAGGTGCTGGCTGAGGGCTGGGCCACGCCCATGTCTGGCTTCATGAGGGAGGCAGAGTATCTACAGAGTCAGCACTTTGGCTGCTTACTGGACGGTGAGTGCTCTCAAGTTGTGAGCCATATAGAAAGTGGGAGTTGATTAGCAAATAATAAGTAGATAAAATATAATAAATTATACTTTATTACTTTATTGACCCCTATGGTGTTTTCTGGGTGGTGGGTGCACTCAAACTTTGAGCACTTAAAGAGAGTGGGACTTTTGTAGTATAGAGATGGTTTTAAAATGAAAATAAAAATGTTATTAAAATAGAAGAAATTTTGAGATTTATTTACTGAACGGTTTCTTTTTTTTTTTTTTTTTGCTTCTTTGTGTATTTACAAGTGGTGGAGGGGGCCACTAGTAGGTCCTACTTCTTTCCTTTCTTTCTGTTGCTACTGTTACTTTTTCCCTGCACTAAATGGCCGTTATTGCATCAATGTACATATCTCCTTCCTCGAACAAATCAGCTGCTACTTCAGTCTTTTTAACTGTCTCATGACTCATGAAAGAGGCGTAAGAGGACCACTTTCACACTGCTGCAGATTCACATCAGTTATTTTACTTATTGTACGCCTTAGTGTGAACACCTGGATAGGGAAAACAAAAAAATTTGCAGAACAAGATGACAAAATTATGTTCTTATTTTGTTTTTATTCAGTTTTGTAATATTGTTTGAGACCTGTTTATAAGATACGTAATTTTTAATACTCTCAAGGTCTCTCTTTTCACTATAGCCACGGCTGAGATGACTTGTACCACTTTCTCTTAAAAACCCCATTCGTTGTTTGGTTTTTTTTAAACGGGTGATTGATGGGCTTTCTGATGTGGTTTTAATTTTCTCTTTTTTTGTTCAGTTCTTCTTCAGTGTGATTGTTTTCCTTGTCTCCTTCTTATGGAAACGGGAACGTTATCGTGGCGATTGTGGGTGGTTGGCGGGTGCTCTGGTGTGGTCTGCTTCTTCTTTCCTATCAAACATCTATCGTCCTTATCTCCCCTTCTTCTTTTTTATGTATGTTACTCTCTTGTAACACCTCTAATCTTCTGGAGCTCATATGACCTTATGCAGTTGCGAGCGCCGTAAAACCTCTATTAAAACTAAAAAATCGTGGCGATTTGCCGTAAACTGGGTGTCAGTTCAACACAGCTCTTTACACATTATTTCTTCTGTTTCACAGCGGGTGTGGTGAATCAGTCCATCCCTCTAGTTTTGCCTGTCCAGACGGCGGACAAGGAAAGATTGGATAAATGTGAGGCCATCACTCTACGCTACGAAGGCAAGAACATCGCCATTCTACGCAACCCAGAGTTTTACCCTCACAACAAAGAAGAGCGTTGCAGTCGCCAGTTTGGCACCGCTAACCCTGGGCACCCGTATGTAAAGGTGGGTGTGCATTTTGTTTTGAATTTGAATTGAGACATATTGGGTGAGACATAATATTGAGAGAACCTATTACATGTCTTCAGTAAGGATATGTAATTTTTGTACAGTTTTGCTTGCTTTACTGTATAAAATGCAGAGATTTTGGCAGTCATATGGCAGTTTGTGTTAAAGAAAATCTGTCCTCTAAGTGTGTCTTTTAAAATCTATTTTATCCTCACTCATCAATTTAACTGAAAAGAAATTTGTAAGTCTCAAGAAAAGGGCATTGATATCAGCTATTTTGACTAAAGTTTTGATGTTTACTTTACTGACTTCATGACTTATTAAAAGACCTTCTCTATTTGTTTATAGTTTATACCAGTGTTCCATCTGATCACATTCGACTTTTACTATTTTTTCAGATGATACTGAACAGTGGGGACTGGTTATGTGGAGGTGAGCTAGAGGTTCTGGATCGAATATATTGGAACGATGGGCTGGATGAATATAGACTGACACCACAAGAACTACGTAACAGATTCAGACAGCTCGGAGTGAGTGCTTCCCTGTACTTTTATTCAGCTTCCGCACGTTACTGTAGCAATGTTGTCTTCTGTATGTATTTCTTTCAGTTAATGCGCTCAATTTTCCATACCTGGTCTTGGCTAAATATGTTGAATTTTAAGTCTGCTTCCTATGTGATATATACAACAATTTCACAGCAATGTAAAGGATAATTATAATAATATTAATAGATTACATAATTTATATTATCCGTATTTTAAAGAAGGTTTTTTTAAATTTACAATTTATTCTTTGTAATGGATCTGCGTCATGTCCATAATCCATAATACGATGGTATCTGAACAAGAAAATTGTACCTCATTATAGCATTCCTTTTTCTTAACCTATACTATTGCATGCTTTTCCAGGCTGATGCAGTGTTCGCCTTCCAGTTGAGAAACCCGGTTCACAATGGCCACGCCCTCCTCATGTCAGACACAAAGAAGAAACTCCTGGAGAGAGGCTACAGAAAGCCAGTGCTTCTACTTCATCCACTCGGTGAGGAATGCAGGGATTATTGTAGAGATTAGCCTTCTTCCTTCGTCCGTGATTAGGCAGGGAGGGATGGGAGTGGAGGACAGTCTTTATAACCTATACAACTTTATTGCAGCTGCTCGTTGCAATCTTCTTTAGGGCTTTATTTTATTTTTTTAAGGAGTGAGAGGTGTTGTATTTCAGTATTATAATCTTGAATTTTCCCATACTTTCATTTCGTACTTCATTTGTTTGATGTCTACATGTTTTAAAGTGCCAACCAGTTAATTTGCGTATTCATGCACATCTTATGTATGCTGTGCAAATTCTGGAAAAAACATTTTTGCCAAACATTTTTACCTCTTGACCTTTAATTTTTTCTTAACCCTGACTTTTATACAAAGCAGATGGTTTGAAGACACCATTTGTAGGTCGTACTTTTTCTCTTTCCCCTCAGTTAATTCTGTCTTGGTCTTCTTTCTTTTGCCCTGCACTAAATAACCTCTATTTTGTCGAAGCGCTTTTCTTTACTCAAACATGAAAATACAATATGGGAAAATGGGCGTCTGAAAGTGCTTAACTTCTTCATCAGCATCTTCTTATTTACTTTCCTTGATCAGGTGGCTGGACCAAAGACGATGACGTTCCTCTGCCAGTGAGAATGAGGCAGCACAAGGCCATCCTGGACGACAAGGTCCTAGACCCAGAGTCCACAGTCATTGCCATCTTCCCTTCACCCATGATGTATGCTGGACCAACAGAGGTGGGTGCTTGCGGCTCAGTGTTTGACGTTCATGGTTAGGCCTATACTTTGTTTTCGATGGCAGCAGAGCTAAAATGTCTCATTCTTTTTTAATTCAACAATTATAATTTAACAGCACAAAATAAGCAGGAAACTGTTTTGCAAGACTGCATGAAACTTCCGATTTTATCAAACCGTTACTTTCCAAGCGTCGAAATGTGTCGAGGGGAAATAATCCATGCAATTCAGAAAGTTGTGATTTCTTTTCTTGTTTGTTTCCCTTTGATTATCATTGCCTGGCATCTGCAGACAAGAATAAAATTGTTTATTTTAACGACTGGGTTGGGAAACTGAAATTGTTGAAAAAGTGGGAGTAAAAATGAAGAACGAAAAGACAAGGTGACAGAAATAGGGTACGGTGAAAGAGTTGAGCACATTGGCTTAAAATGAACAGATGAGGCGTTTGAGATAAAGTGTGGCTCAGTGAGCTTACATGAAAGATTGAAGGCAAACGGAGCAGAGGTAGACCATGAATAATTTCATTGCTGAGAGTGCTTGAACAAGTGGTGAGATTAAAAGAAAAGAATAACAGTTTTTTTTTTACAGCATTCTTTCCTGAGAAATGAGTAGCAACACATGACTGCAGATGTCTGTTTCAGATCTGGTACTAGAAGAAGAAGTTCTAGCTCACATGCAGCACAAACTGTTTACTTGTATGTAGCATAAGTATTTATTGTTCTCTTTAATTTTTCAGGTTCAATGGCACGCAAAAGCTCGTATGTCAACAGGCGCTAACTTCTACATTGTGGGTCGTGACCCGGCTGGAATGCCTCACCCAGACAACGGCAAAGATCTTTATGACGCAACACACGGAGCTAAGGTAAGATTTCTTCCATCTTGTCAAATATATCAACGTTGTTATGCTGTAACTTGAAGAGATAGGCCAGCTCTTTTTATGTTTTGAAACCATTGCGGATTTGGATCTGAAAGTGATTGATAAAAATCAGGAGTAAGCATGCACTATGAATAAAATGTAATAGCACAAGTATCTTCACTTACTTCATTTGTGAAAATTTCAGTCTTTTTTAGTAGAAGGTTCAATGGATCCCTTACTCTCCCATCCCTTCTGTGAATGTGGCCTGAATCAAATAGTGGGATCAATTATCCCTTTACGTTTTATATTTTGTGAGTGGTTGTCCATACCCACAGTGCCAGTGCCTGTGATTTAACAGTCAGGGTCTTTGCCCAGGCACACAGAATGACATAAGCCCAGTTCTCGAGTTAGGACATCTTTTAATCAAGCATTTCTACTTGTATTCTGGAATATGTTGTATCCCACTCGGTCTGGGTTGGCCCAGACAGACAGACAGGGTCAGAGCAGCCTGACTCTGAAAAGATTTACATTTTTTCAGAAGGAGTACAGTCCAATCTTCTCTAATACCCACCTGTCTAAGACAATCACCTGTACAAATGACCATTCCTCACTTTCGGCCTTGCTGGGGTTTTTTTTAAATTTATTATTTTAAAACTGTCTAAGACTTCCACCTGTCTAAAACAATGAGTGGGTGGTTGGCGGGTGCTCTGATGTGGTACGCTTCTTCTTTCCTATCAAACATCTATTGTCCTTTTCTCCCCCTTCTTCTTTTTTTGGTTTGTTGTTACTCTCTTGTAACACTTCTAATCTTCTGGCGCTCATATGACCTTATGCAGTTGCGAGCGCCGTAAAACCTCTACTAAAACTAACTTAAACAATCTCTTTTCTACTCAACAATGAGTGATTGCCTTGGACAATACCAACTGTGTATATATATATATATATATATATATATATAAATATATATATATATATATATATATATAATATATAAATCTCATACAACTACAATGTTCCTCCCCTTCCCTTCCCCACAGGTTCTCACGATGGCACCAGGCCTGACCCAGCTGGAGATTGTCCCGTTCCGTGTGGCCGCCTACAACACACGCAAACGAGCCATGGACTTCTTCGACCCTGAGAAGAAACAGGACTTTGAGTTCATTTCCGGGACCAAGATGCGCAAAATGGCCAGAGAGGGAATCAACCCACCAGACGGTTTCATGGCGCCCAAAGCCTGGAAGATCATGGTGGAATTTTACCAGTCAATTGCCGCCAACAAGTAATTGGCGTGGCCAATAATATGCAAAATTTGATAGTGCAAAAATTATTTTCTACAGTTCTATATTATTTTATAATTATTGTTAATTTAAAACAATGTGGGTCTTTTGGCTTTCTTTTGTAAAGGTAATATGTTTTTTTAAATTTTGTTTTTGTTTTGTCCACTCCCAATGAGCAGTGTATTTGGTACACTGACGACAGAAATGGATGAGTTTAAGAAGAATTAATTAATGTTTTGGAAAGTTTTCATATTGGTCTTGTGCAATAACAGACTATGTCCCCTTGAAGTTAAAGTGGATCAGTAGGGCTTTTGTTGTTGGGGGTTTTAGTTTGGGCAAAATGGTAAAAAGAAATATCACCTTTCTTTAAAAACTTGTTTGAATAGTCAAGAGTACTTAAGGTTTCTAATAAGCTGCAGTTTCATTTTGTTTCAAATAGTAGTACCTTATTATATCTAAGATGTACTTCAACTATGAAGAAGATTAGTAGAACAGCCTCTTTATCATTTCATTTTGCACCAAATAGTCAAAGGCATGCAAACCTCATATGACTCATACGTTCACATCAGTCTTTCGTAAGCATAAATGAGAGTTCAGATAGCCCAAGGCATGGGAACAGATAGCCAACTTTACATTATTCATATGTATACATCAGTCTGTTTTAAATGGGAGTTCATTCCTTCTGTCTCAACATTTTCATCTGTTGAATTAGTAGTATTGAATTCATTCATAGCCAAAAAGAGCAACACACTTGTGAAGTGTTCTGAAGTTTGCTAATCAAGTTCAAAATAGTTCAGCTGATGTAGGTTGTGATTTTTTTCAGCCAGTAAGCCGTAGTCACCTGCTGTCCGTTTTGGTATGTTTCATAAAAAGACAGTTTCTCAAAGCCTGACCTAGTAGATGGGTGGACATCTTACACTCTCTGCTGACCAGCGGCTATCGATTTATCTCACAGACTGCAGGGGGCAAATTTCTCTTTTTGTTTAATGTTCTAGTTATGTTCTTACCCAGGGTAATGATCCTTGAAATTCATTGTTCATGGTCTACTGTTACTTGTTGTTAAGTCTTATATGGAAACCAGACAACCCAACTGAGTGAGTTTTCTTGGAAATTGTGACTGTTTCTGAGTTTTCCATACTTTGTTGTAAACACAATGAATGTGATGTATGTTCATATGATTTTACAAAATGGAAATTTTATTCTAATTTACCCGACCACATGCGTAATTCACTTTTTTTAGTATAATTATACTTGTTGATCTTTCTGAGTGAGTCCTGTCACATTTTCCCTCTATGAGGATGATCTTGCAATAACCAATAACAGAAATTCTGTTGTAATGTTGGACCATATTTATATGCACTTTGGTTTATCCTCTTGGTAGGAAATAATGGGCATTTTGTCGACTTCACTTAATGTATTTGTGATATATACTTAGGGAAAGGGGAGGGGGCTTTTTTCTTTTATCAGTTTCATTTTGGCTTCTCACCCACAATGATTTGGTTGATCTGTTCTTTCGATCAAAAGAGAAGTTTGTCTTCAGTCTTCTATCATGTTCCCATTATATTCTGAGAGGTCTAGTTGAGGCTGTGATAAAGATATATCAGCCGATGCCTTGAAGAGGAAAAGAATTGGAATGAATTATTTAGTGGATCAGAAAAGAAAAAAAACTAATTTTTGGTTTTTCTAAACCTCCACTTGGCATTACGTAAAGAAATACTTTGAAATGGAGAATAGACCCATGCATTTCTCTTGTTAGTATACCTCTAATGTCTTGTCATTGACTGAGCTCTGTGTTATTAATTGCAAGGGGGGCTTTCTACATGAGGGAGACACAAGTTTCTTGAGTTGTTGATGAAGATGAATGCAAGTACAAAATATTGAAGGGCCCAAAGCTTACCATGACCGATCTCTGTACCTTACTGAAATTATTCAGATGCTTTCACAATGACTCTCCGAGATGATCTATCGGTGCTTCTCTCTGTATATTCGTCTTCATCTCTCTCTAATTTTTTGTTTGTCTGACTTACTACCCTTTCTTAAAAACTTTATTTTCATTTCTCTCTGCCTTTTATTCTCTCTCCCAATCTGCTGTCTGTGTTGTTTTTTTCTTTTGGTTTGGATAGAACCTGTCCTTATACTGCTGAAGAGGTCTGTGATAGATTATGAGATTGTACTTCCACGTAGTCAGACACGTAGCAGCTAGGCCTGTGTCCAAGCTTTTCACGATGTTTATGACCCATAATCAAGAATGGCGTTGTAGTTTAGCCAACGATCAAATAACAAAGAATGTGATTCAGTGGAGTTTTCCTAAACATGTGTAGTATTTCTTTCAAAGCACACAATAGAGAATGGAAGGTCATTTATATTACGTGAACATGAGCTTGCAGAATTTGTATCAAGTATGCAAGACAAACCAGAACTTGATACAATGTCATGCTCCATGTTTCTAATGAGAACGCTTTTCCTTTGGTGAAACTCCAAAGTGACTTGTGCTCATTTTGAAGTCGGCCTAATCAGTAAATTCTGAGCTCTCTGAGAATGTTATAGCAGTGTCAGGCTATATATTGTTGGCAGGACTACAATGTCTCTTTATTGACAGTTATAACTCCTGAAATTATTGTCTTCATTGGTCATAATTGTGAACAAAATTGTCGTGATTCACCATAGCAACAAATGAAATTGTATTTTTCGTGATAGTGATCAAATTTATCTTCAATCACAATAGTGACTTTTGAAACAGTCTTTATTGGTCGTAATAATGACCAAATTGTCATGATTCACCATAGGGACAAAATGAAATTGTCTTTATTCACCCCAGTATTAGAATTGAAGCTATGCGATGAGATTAACATAAAAGTCACTATTGTTCACTTGAATGTTTTTATTTGTTCATTAATCAAGCTCTCATGACCCCATGAAAGTGCTGCTTGTTTTTTCGCCAAGGGATCAAGCATTGAATCGAGCTGTATCTTAACACATGTTTCAAGGCAAGTTTGATTTCACTGTTTGTATGAAACAAATACGTTGTGTGATAAGCACATGTGGAGGTGTGAGAAGATGTTGTACACTGCTCAATGTGGCACAGTGCACCTATGTATTCATCCATGTATTTCATATTCGAGAGGGACTATAATTAAATTGAAAACCTTGATCAGAATCAATGCTTGCTGAAGTTTTTCTTGTTTTTTTAGTCTTGTTTTTTGTTTATTTTGTCTTGTTTTGGCTTGAATGCTCCAAGTGAAACTGAGTGGGTGGTAGGCGGGTGCTCTGGTGTGGTTTAATTGCTGCTTCTTCTTTTCTATCAAACATCTATCGTCCTTATCTCCTCTTCTTCTTTTTTATGTTCGTTACTCTCTTGTAACATCTCTTATCTTCTGGGGCTCAAATGACCTTATGCTGTTGCGAGCACTGTAAAACCTCTACTAAAACTAAAACAAGTGAAACAGAGGCTCTAGGGTGCACCATAAGCTCAGTTGGTATTGTGCTGAACTACGGAGCGGGTGGTCGTGGTTTGAATCTCTGTCACGGAGGGTTTTTTTCTTTGATTGTTTGGGCGATTTTTTTTTTAAAGCTGACTATACTTTTAGCTCAGTCCTATTGGAGACAGATGTTAGATTCAGAGTTCCCGCTTCTTAAATATAACCTTGCAGTTTTGAAAGCGGCGTTTAACCATGACAGTGGGTGGTTGGCAGGTGCTGTGGATGGTTTGCTTCTTCTTTCCTATCAAACCTCTGTCGTCGTTATCTCACCTCCTGCTTTTTTGGGGGGGTTGTTACTCTCTTGTAACACTTCTATTCTTCGCCACTTATAATATGACCTTATTGTTTTTCAAGTGCTGTAAAACACTTACTAAAACAAAAAGCCGTGACAATGACCAATGACAATTGAAGAATTCCCCTCAGAATAAGATTTTTGGAGCAGTCGACTTTGTAGGTTTTTCATTCAACCCACAGGGTAGCTGATTTTTAAGGGAGGGGGGTGGGGGCTGGTTTATAAACCTATCTCGGTAACTATGGCCTTTTTAGATAAAGCCTTATAGCAAGAAAGTATAACAGGAAAACATATGTAAAATGTAACTTTAATTTTTTTTAAATTTAAGTCTACGGTTGCCATTGTAATGACCGCCATATTGAAAATAAACAGCTTTCATTAAAGTAAAAAGGAATTTTTTTTACCAAATTGGTACATTGATAGATATACTCAATACAAAATTTTATATATCGTTGGGATTTTGGATATCTTGAATTGGAAAAAAAGTTTGAGATGGATAACTGACCTACTCTTTCGAATCATGCTTCTGAAGTCACTTACATAATCATCCATGTAACTCGCTTTTAAATGCATCGATTTTATTTTCCACCTGTATAAAGGTAGGTTATGGTATGAATAACAAGCCCTGAAAATTTCATTGGAATCAAAAATAAAATAAAAAAGTAGATGAGAAAAAAGACATAAAAAATGGAGGTTTTGAGAAAAAAACAACATTTTGTTACATAATAGGCAAACTTAAAGTTCTAAGACAGAAAATCTGAAAGATGATGATTGTAGCACAAAGAGTAAGCATTTTTTAGATTTACAAGTGATTGAAGTATTATGATACGTAAAAAGTCAAGGTACCATAAATTGACCGAAAAACGTCAATTTAAAACCAGCCCCCCCCCCCCCCCTTTAAGTAACGTAGACAATTTTCCGACCCATGCGTTGTATAGTGTCCCTTGCCTTTCATGTTGCCTTGTGTACTCTTCGAAGGCGCACGGTGGGTGATCGACGAGTGTTGTTGTGTGGTGTGCTCCTTCTTCCCAGCCATTCTATCGTCCTTATCTCTCCTCCTTCTCTTCTGCGTATATTACTCTCTAGCCACATCTCTAATCTTGGGCGTTTATATATAAGCTACATTGTATTTGTGTTGCAAGTTGATTCATAATTTTTCCTGGGGTATCTTCTATTCTTGGCAGCATATGGGTGGTTGGTGGGTGCTCTGGTGCTGTTTGTTTCTTCTTTTCCTAGCAAACATCTATCGACCTTATGTCTCCTCCATTTTGTGTGTATGTTACGCTATTTCCGGGGTGCTGTTGAAGCTAGAGAGGTGAGCAGAGTAAGCCTGATTCCCTGTAAGGACTTTTCTGTTGACTTCCAACCCTTGGCGCTCTTATGACCGTATGCAGTTGCAAGCGCCGTAAATCCTCTACTAAAACATAAAACTTGAACTTGACTACGTCTAACTGCCGATCTGTCTTTATCGTGCTCGACCGGCGTCTGTGGTGTAGCGGTTAGGTGTTTTGCTGTCGCGCACTTGTAAGCCGAGTTCGATTCCTGAGTGGGGAGAATGTTTATTGAGCATCTCCATCGGGTCTTTCTGCTGAGATGGTGTAGCCCTCTCAGTCAGGTTTGGCCCTGACAGTCAAGGTCGAAGCCCGTCTCCTGTATGTTCAAAATCGTGTTGACGGAGGTGGAAAAACACCTAATTATTTTGAGTATTCAACGTGGACTTTCTTTTTCCTTTCCCTGAGGACTTGGTTTTCTGTCCCCAGTACCCTGAAAATGTTGTTTTTTCTTCCATATTTAAGGCCTTTGGCTCCCATTACTTAAAACATACACATTTTACAGAAGAGACTTCCGTTAAAATAACAAAAATTATATAGTCGGTGTTATTCACAAACCAGCAACACGCAGAAAGGCAAATTTTTCAGCATGGACAAAAAACTGATTATTGTTAAAACGCGCAGGGTAATCTTACATATTTCTGTACAAAATGTTAAGTTATAAGTGTTGGCACCAAATAGTACTCGATTTTACTTGCATACCACAACCGATTGTTTTATTTTGCACGTAGCCGGTTATGGGAAGACAAATAGTGTGCAGCACAATGCAGGTAGCCGGTTCTCTGTCTGCACTAAGCCGGTTCGAGCACGGCGCTTCCGCGCCGCACAGCTGTGACACGAGGCGTCATGTAGACGGTTAGGGGCGGCTGTGTGCTACTGTTCGCTGTCATTGGCCTAACAAGTATAATAGATCTACATATGCGACGGCGAGTTATAGGCCTATAAGTATTTAAACCAGGGGTTTTCAAACTGTTTTCAGTCACCGCCTCCTTTATCACACATCCTTATGAAATGTTTTCTCCCATCAACGTGCTGCAGTAAAGTGGCCTGTGATTTGTATATCAAATTTCTCACAAACACAAACACGCACAAGGGGTGTTTGCGAGTGTGTG